ATGTTTTGAAACTTGGTCAAGATAAATTATCTTATAAAAAGTATCCTTATATCTGTAGCGTGAATTACTAATCACGGTAATTCAATATTTAATCTACGCATTCTGAAGAAAAGATAGCTGGTTAGTATTTATTCTATGTGAAAATAATGGGTATTTTCTAATTATCTTGTCTGTATATATACGGTATAAAAAACATCCTGAGGATCTTACATAAAAAAGAATTATTTGAACCACAAAATATTTGATAAGTTCATCATAATCATGTCAAGTTTTTCCACTACTGAAGAGACATTTTTAATTGAGAATGTAGATTCGTAAAGTTTTGTGACAAACAAATATCTTAATAAGATCATGTATAAGGATGCTGCATATTATATTTCTTTAAAGCATTTCATAATGTTTGAGTAACAATCTAATCAGTTTTTTCCTGAGAATAGAACTAAAGTGGACCTTAGATGCATGGAAGACTTTGTTGAAAAGATGGAAATTGATGAGTTTGTACTGCATCAATAAGTCGTTATAGTATTAACTATATATTTAACACACATTATATAGATTAGTAAGGCCTTAAATACCATTATAGAAACAAGATATTTCTCATCAATTTATTGCACTGAATATGGAAGTTCGTTTAAATTTTCCTATTTAATTAATCAGGTCAAAGTGACACCATATTTTTGTTTTTGTCATACAACCAGTCATGTGTCTCTGGGTCCCAGACACTTGTATTTTTCACGTAATGGACTATGGGATTAGACTATTAATCCAGTCAGATGATGTTTATTTTTTGAAATTTTAAAATTATTCCTGTTTAATATTATTTGGTCTATCACTTATTCACAGAACTCTCTTTAGGATTATTAAAAAAAGGATATCAAAACACATCCCCACATCCTGGAGCACTCATAATTAAGTAACCACTGAATAAAGGTTACAGTTTTCCTACCTTGGAAATCAGGAGTGAATACTTTTATAATCAAACAAGTCGGTGAATATGATGACTGAGAATGTCAGTAGGTATAATTTTGGCGTTTGAAACTCTATGTATTGAGCTTATGCTTCAGGATGAACGAGAAACTAAGATACGTGTGCGTTCTGATAATGATTTTTTACAATAGAAGTATACAATAGCGGTTAATCAAATATGTAGTTATCCCATTAAGTTAAAATTCTATTTCGTGTCACCTAAAACATGGTTAAGTAATAACATGCTTATGTCGAAAAGCTTAAACGAAAAAAGAGAATTTAGTCTTAAATTAATGTAAACCACAGCAACAGAAAGGAGTACTTGTAAATTTACATCGTGACCTTCGAAGTTTATTTTACTGTGATTACGAGGAGAAAAGTGACGCCAGATTTAAGTTTGGTACTGATCGATTTTGTTTTATTTTAATACTATTGCGGGAGAAAATAAAGGTGGTATTGTAGAACATAAACCAATGGTTGGAAACTCTGGGTGACATGGCTCAGAATCGATCACAATGGCGCAGGTGTGTGCACTCTTTATCTCCCCTTAAACCTTGAGATTAAAATTGCTTCATATCTGTCTTGCTTCCTGTACTATAGTCTTATATACAGCCTTTCTTTTATATGTTACCAACACTAAAATAACTACTATGGATTCGGTATTCGTCTTGTTGTGCTAATGAGGTATGGCAACTTGGACCAATGCATATGTGTGCCTGGTCGAACGTTTTAGCTGATTAACTGTAGGACATAACTTTGTCAACATGCATAAATATGATCATAAGGTAATACTAGTCAGTTGCTAAGATATCCTCAAGATAGGACAAAATCAATTGTTCAATCCACCCTAGTCCTCAATGAATAGTCAGTCCATAATAATCAGTTCAGAAAAGCGAGGTAACACAAATCCGGACAATCAATTTATTACGTTACAAGGCTCCTTAACTTTGTTTACTTGTAACTCCATTTCGAATTGAATCCAAAAAACTCAATTTTTATAGCAATTATTTACGACTAATAACAATTGCTGTAAAAAATGACAACTTCAAGTGTAATTATTTCGAATAACCTTGATTGGTGATTACTTCATATAGTGGTCATTTTTCATGGTAGTTTGCAAAGTAATCCGTGGAATCATTTCTAAGAGAATTATTTATCCAAATATTGGAAAATCAACTCTAGAATTGATGTATCCAGATTTTATTCAAGACGAATCAATGAAATGCCTGTAATTTGTGTCAATCAACTAACTTGACCATTAATTTTACTAAAGGTTATATTAATCATTTATTTATTTCATTGATTACATTGCATTTAATTCACGCCACAACACGTAAATCCAGACGAATACGTACGCAAATTTTGTCTATATCAATGTATCATAAATACAATTAAATGAAATAAGATTAGAACAGTTTACACTTACTTCACCTGCGTGTATTGTATAAGCATATACAATAAAAAAACTGTTACTGATTGGATAAGTGTGTGAATTAGCAAATAACTTTTCTTACATTTCAAACGACTTTTATCTAAGCAGCTATAAGCTAAACAGTTTCTGTTCTTTTAGTAAACAGGTCAGCATCAAATTTCTTTTTGAGATATTTCAAAGTTTAAACCATAAGATATATTAATCTCTTAAAAGTGAAATTAAAGCAAGATAAAATTGACGACATGCCTAGAAGAAGCAGGAATTCAAAATTTAAAAATCATTTATTTCTTTCATTAATTACATTGCATTTAATTCACGCCACAACACGTAAATCCAGAGGAATACGTACGCAAATTTTGTCAAATCAAACTCTGTTTATTCGATTGGAAAAACAAATTTAATGAAACTAGGAGTAACTCAAACGTGTTCATCAACGCCCTTATGTACTAGCTATTATACCTAGTGAAGATTACAGTACGAGTAATTTCTGGGGTTTACTAATTGACTAATATTCTTGTTGTACTACTATTCAGTAATTAGATTATGTATATCTATATTCATCTTATTATAAGCTTCGTTTTGACCTATAAATTATTATTATACGATTTACTGTTCACAAATTATGTCCAGTTTATTGATTATTGTCTCCCACGTTCATAGCCACATTTGGCTTGATTACGTACAAATATTATTTTCTATTTTATGATGTGGTGCGGTCTGTCTGTCTGGTATATAAACCAAGTATGCTTGAAATTAATGACTCGCATAGCAGAATCTGTTATTGGTGTTCTGGACTCAACTGTAAGGACTAGGCGGATAAAGGACCAGTAAGGACGCTAGATTGCTCATACCGGTCGAACGTCATTGGTTTGACACAGTGCTAAGATAGGATAAGTCGTATTTCGATTTGTGAGTAAATCACGTGATAAAAAGCCAGGCATAAATTCGCAACACTAGCAATTATGTATGATTGTATAAATTGAGTCATGTTCAACAGACAATTCTTAAAACAATATTTTTCAACGTCTATTTTGCACAAAAATATTCAAGAACAATAATTTTTATTCAGTACTTAGAGCAATTGGTGTATTTTATAAAGTCTTGTTGAAATGTGTCAATGTCGAGACAAACCACACAGTATGCGTATATACCAACAAAGATTCATCAAACAACATCTAATAAGGATTATCGACAATAGGATAACTGAAATCCTTTCTAATAATGACAGAAAAAATCGATTGCTTCTGAGAGTTCCTTCTTAAAAAAAAAACAATTTTAATTCTGATTTATCGAAAATTATTAATTTTTCATTTATTAACACGGTTCAATCATAGTAGAGTTATATTCAAAGTTCGCAATTTACTCTTAAGTTCTTAATATTTAAAATAACACTCTATCACGGTTACATTTTAACAACGTATTCTCAGGTTGATTGAACTCTTGGCTATTCGTAAATTTAAACCTCCCTTATGTGTACAAAAACAATTTGTCGTAAAGTTGAATTTATCCTGGTAATCCTTAAGTCATTCTATCGCCTAGGATAACGCGACGATTTCTTATTCTTTCTATACGATATAAAATATTCCCCTTTTGTTACCTTTTTTACTTGAAATTCCATTTAATTGATCTTTATCAGAAGGGAGTTTGGTGGAGATTTTAGTAATTTTATGGTTGAAATCATTGGTCAATTGAAGCTAGACCACCATGGATCAACTCTTGCGGGACAAAATCGTAGATGCGCACTGCTGAGGAGCCCCACAATAGGACGAAACGGTCGTCCAGTGCTTTCAAGTTTTCCATGATAGTCTAGCTTTAATTGACCTTTATTAATTTTCATGTAAAATGTCCTGACAAGTATATGTGTGACCAAGTTGTTCGAAACATATATAGCAAATACATCACATTTTTCAGATCAACTCCGTCTTCTAATTGTTCTATCGAAATTTATTAAAGGAACTAATTGCTTTAAAAGGAAATATGTCGTGTTTAGAATCCGTAATCTTATGCATAAAATTGTCTAGATGACAGTTTTATTTATTAACAATAGATTTCAGGCAACAGAATTCTAAAGCAAAATAGTGATGTTGGTTGTAATGATGAAAAAAAAAGAGAAACCAATTAAAGTTTTGAGTTTATTTCATATAGAATTATAAAATATTTTCATAGTTGAACTCATTAGTCAATTGAAGCTAGACCACCATGGAAAATCTGGAAGCACTGGCCGGTCGTTTCGTCCTATTATGGGACTCCTCAGCAGTGCGCATCGACGATCCCGCACCCGCGAGATTCGAATCCAGTACTTCCAGGTTTTCTATGGTGGTCTAGCTTCAATTGACTCATGAGTTCAACTATAAAAATATTGAAATATGCACAAAAAACCCCTTCTGATGAATTATAAAATAGTAAGTACTATTTATCATGTTCTTACTAGAATGTACATGTATAAATGACTGATCTATAAGAATATTGATTTAAATATCTATTTTAAACAACACCCTTAGTTAAGAATAACAAAAAAAAATAGTAAATTATATTATATACATCAAGAAAAACAATTAATTTATCATTTTAAGTATTTTCGTTTTCTATCTCGAAAATAATTTCAACTTTGTTTTATTAAAACTCGAAGATGTGTAAAAAATGGTTGATTTGATCGTGAAATCACTTTATATGATACAGCATCTAATCCATGAAAGTTTATCTGTTCATCTGAGTTTTCTAATAATTTTTTTAAATGATTAGATTGTAAAGAATACGATGATGTATATGGTATATAAATATATTGTCCAATTTTATCATTAACATGTATATATTTTATACCCGTAAATTTAAGACGTTTTTCAAAATTATCATCATTTTCATTATCTAAACCCCAATAATCATTAGAATATCCATTAACAGTAATAAAATGATGTGTAGATATTTTTATAACTCCACCAATATATGTTTCATAAGGTAATTTAAATTTATTTGTATTTATCGCAACACTTAAATGTATCATCATATGTTTAGTTAATTGATCACATTGATATGAATTATAATAATTAATTGGTGCTAAATCAACATCATGAAATATAACACAATCAAATTTAAATAATTTTAATGCTTCAATAAATCCAACATTTTTTAATTTACCTTTATTGATTAATTCATCTATCTCTTAGTTAAGAGGACGTCTAAAAAGGCTAATCGGCCATCACTCTCTTCCTCCGATGTAAACTGGATAGCTGGATGCACTTCGTTAAACTGCCTAAGCACATCTTGTTGTGAAATATTATCTTTACACAGGATGAATGTGTCATCCATATATCTGCAGTAAAATTTGAATTCTTGAATAATCTTTTTCAGATGACCGTTCTCTAATTTAGCTAGAAATATATCAGCTAGTGGAGGCGGAGGCAGTAGCCATCAGAATGAAGAAACCTGAGCTATGTGTACAGAAGAAATATCTCCAACCCCTACTTCTCCCTTGGCCAACCATAAGGCCAATTAATGAACAATCATCTTAGCTATTGTATGACCTAATTTGACTATGTACTTACGACCTTTCGTAGTCAAATGTAATTGTCTCTTATCTTTATTCACAAATCTTTGTATTTTATTATTATTGGTTAAATATCATTATTAATCCCCCCTAAACATGATTCATTCACATCGCATTGATCCCTCCTTATTACGTCTCACTAATTTTTCACACATTTAGTCTTCCACTTGATCGAATTGTAATTGCACTATCATATCTCTCTCACCCTATCTGACCCATATTTATATTCTGATCACAGATCTTAAATTTTCACTTTACGTATATACAGATTCAAGTTAACATTTTATATGAGTCATATCAACATTAACAATTTTATTCTATTTGATTTGACATTCCTAAATTTACATGCATTAAACGATGTACTTTGCCTTTAACCTGGCCAATTTTTCGGATTATTAATTTGGATATATAATTGTAGAACCTGAAGAGAATTTATCGAAAAGAATATTCTTCGTTCAAATATTAGTCTTTTAATATGATTGGGATTTTTAAACGATTATATTTAAGTATAGATATTTTTGACATTCAATAGTAATTCAGTTTTTATCTAATTGAAACGAACAGTGTTGTCAGACATTAATTAAATCTCCAATTCATTAACAAGGATTTTTATCAAAGAAATTATTATGACAAACAATAATCAGTTGAATATTGAGCTGTCAGAAAGATTATAAACTATAATTACTGCATGTGTTACTAAGTGTTGATAAATGATGACATTCATCAAACTGTCAAATGAATATCGGAAAAAAGAACCAAACACCATACAACATGACAGAAACAACCACCACTATCGTGCGAGTCTGGTTAGTTGCTAGGACATTTGGTGTATGACCAACTGAAATTGCGTGATAACTTCATACTAAAATGATGGGTTGAAAACCTAATATTCTTTGGTAATTGGACCAATTCGCTGGAATTCTCATCACATCTAAGTTAGGTGAATGGAGGTATAAATATGAGTAACAGAAAGTAATTATAATTTCCTCTGTAGTTAATTATTCGTAACAGAACACTACCCATCGTCCTATCGGTAAACACGAGTGCTTGATATTTCTGTTAATGTTAAAGTTATTTAGCTTTTAACTCCGATTTCTAAGATCATCCAAAGCTGTCTAGCCAACACATTATCCCACAGACCGTAAAATACGCAAACTTGTATTACGAATCGGCCGTATAGGAAGACAAAACTCCCTTCATCCAACTATTCAAGGGATCACTAATGGATATCGTTAGCAATCCTCTAAAGAAAGCTACCTGGTTTTCTCTGCATACTAATGTTAATACATGCGAATGAACATACCAGTCTAAAAAGCTTGTCGCATAATTATAACATGCTTATCAAATATCTTAGCTAAAAACCGAAACGACATTAAACCAAAGCCGTACTAAAAAAGACCAAATTGGATTTCAGTAGCTCTTGAAATCAATTTTTAGGTTAGATTACTAGCGCTAACCAATTTTAATAGGGATTGATGGAGCGTCACTGTAAAGTATAAATATTATCTCTCTACTTGCAGAGATTGGTATATCATCTTTTTTTTTATCATGATAAAGAATTTTCCTAATCCCACTATAATCTACCTGTAAACGTTTTATGCACAGCACATTTGGCATTAGGACTACTTTACTGCAAGAAAATTATTATGTTCCACTCATTTTTTTTAAATAGACATTCTTACGATCAAGCGACATCAATTAGTATTTCTATCTATAGAAATCGAAATGATATTTTCCTTTATTTGGAGATGGGTTCACCAGCCAATTATTCTGAAAATTTTAGACTAGAGAGTTAGGTTTTTTATGTCATTTAAGTTTCTATTAGTTTCTGTGTAGTTTTCAAATGGATGATAAATTCAGTAGACAGTAATCAATGTAACGTTCTGATGTCATACCGGAAAGGAAAGGTTTTAATTATCTACAGAACATCCGTATTCAGTTAGGTAAGACATTAGCAATACTAACAAGATATTTCTTTACTGCATGATAAATACACTAATTAATTACAGCGACACGAAATTGTAGTGCCGTGCTTCGCTATTGGTTCACCTCGATAACCGTTCTAATACAAATCTTAACAGTGCATAAAATCAGAAGGCAAAGAGAAGCGGCAGCTACAGTTTATTGCCAAATAACACAGGCCAGAAAATTATAAGCACATGAGAAAATATCAGTGAGCAAGGGAAAAAAACGCACATTGGAGATGGCGGGTAAACCAACTCACTTTAACCAAGCGTTAATCAATATTTGCACTTATACAAAAATAAAGGTAGACATACAGACATACGCTCACATAAAAAATAGTCAGGGTTAATAAATGGATAATTAACAAGCTCGGGACGTGACTCATGATGGATACGTAAATCGGTTTGTCCAGAAGCTAGAATAAGAGTATATGGGTTTAACATATCAACCGACACTACAAAATCTTCGGAATTCAACATTAATCAATAGTGCTTCACATGATTGTTCGGCATATGTTTTTCACACGTACGTAATTTTCATTATCATGTTTTGAAACTTGGTTAAGATAAATTATCTTATAAAAAGTATCCTTATATCTGTAGCGTGAATTACTAATCACGGTAATTCATTATTTAATCTACGCATTCTGAAGAAAAGATAGCTGGTTAGTATTTATTCTATGTGAAAATAATGGGTATTTTCTAATTATCTTGTCTGTATATATACGGTATAAAAAACATCCTGAGGATCTTACATAAAAAAGAATTATTTGAACCACAAAATATTTGATAAGTTCATCATAATCATGTCAAGTTTTTCCACTACTGAAGAGACATTTTTAATTGAGAATGTAGATTCGTAAAGTTTTGTGACAAACAAATATCTTAATAAGATCATGTATAAGGATGCTGCATATTATATTTCTTTAAAGCATTTCATAATGTTTGAGTAACAATCTAATCAGTTTTTTCCTGAGAATAGAACTAAAGTGGACTTTAGATGCATGGAAGACTTTGTTGAAAAGATGGAAATTGATGAGTTTGTACTGCATCAATAAGTCGTTATAGTATTAACTATATATTTAACACACATTATATAGATTAGTAAGGCCTTAAATACCATTTTAGAAACAAGATATTTCTCATCAATTTATTGCACTGAATATGGAAGTTCGTTTAAATTTTCCTATTTAATTAATCAGGTCAAAGTGACACCATATTTTTGTTTTTGTCATACAACCAGTCATGTGTCTCTGGGTCCCAGACACTTGTATTTTTCACGTAATGGACTATGGGATTAGACTATTAATCCAGTCAGATGATGTTTATTTTTTGAAATTTTAAAATTATTCCTGTTTAATATTATTTGGTCTATCACTTATTCACAGAACTCTCTTTAGGATTATTAAAAAAAGGATATCAAAACACATCCCCACATCCTGGAGCACTCATAATTAAGTAACCACTGAATAAAGGTTACAGTTTTCCTACCTTGGAAATCAGGAGTGAATACTTTTATAATCAAACAAGTCGGTGAATATGATGACTGAGAATGTCAGTAGGTATAATTTTGGCGTTTGAAACTCTATGTATTGAGCTTATGCTTCAGGATGAACGAGAAACTAAGATACGTGTGCATTCTGATAATCATTTTTTACAATAGAAGTATACAATAGCGGTTAATCAAATATGTAGTTATCCCATTAAGTTAAAATTCTATTTCGTGTCACCTAAAACATGGTTAAGTAATAACATGCTTATGTCGAAAAGCTTAAACGAAAAAAGAGAATTTAGTCTTAAATTAATGTAAACCACAGCAACAGAAAGGAGTACTTGTAAATTTACATCGTGACCTTCGAAGTTTATTTTACTGTGATTACGAGGAGAAAAGTGACGCCAGATTTAAGTTTGGTACTGATCGATTTTGTTTTATTTGAATACTATTGCGGGAGAAAATAAAGGTGGTATTGTAGAACATAAACCAATGGTTGGAAACTCTGGGTGACATGGCTCAGAATCGATCACAATGGCGCAGGTGTGTGCACTCTTTATCTCCCCTTAAACCTTGAGATTAAAATTGCTTCATATCTGTCTTGCTTCCTGTACTATAGTCTTATATACAGCCTTTCTTTTATATGTTACCAACACTAAATTAACTACTATGGATTCGGTATTCGTCTTGTTGTGCTAATGAGGTATGGCAACTTGGACCAATGCATATGTGTGCCTGGTCGAACGTTTCAGCTGATTAACTGTAGGACATAACTTTGTCAACATGCATAAATATGATCATAAGGTAATACTAGTCAGTTGCTAAGGTATCCTCAAGATAGGACAAAATCAATTGTTCAATCCACCCTAGTCCTCAATGAATAGTCAGTCCATAATAATCAGTTCAGAAAAGCGAGGTAACACAAATCCGGACAATCAATTTATTACGTTACAAGGCTCCTTAACTTTGTTTACTTGTAACTCCATTTCGAATTGAATCCAAAAAACTCAATTTTTATAGCAATTATTTACGACTAATAACAATTGCTGTAAAAAATGACAACTTCAAGTGTAATTATTTCGAATAACCTTGATTGGTGATTACTTCATATAGTGGTCATTTTTCATGGTAGTTTGCAAAGTAATCCGTGGAATCATTTCTAAGAAAATTATTTATCCAAATATTGGAAAATCAACTCTAGAATTGATGTATCCAGATTTTATTCAAGACGAATCAATGAAATGCCTGTAATTTGTGTCAATCAACTAACTTGACCATTAATTTTACTAAAGGTTATATTAATCATTTCTTTCTTTCATTAATTACATTGCATTTAATTCACGCCACAACACGTAAATCCAGACGAATACGTACGCAAATTTTGTCTATATCAATGTTCATTAATTACATTGCATTTAATTCACGCCACAACACGTAAATCCAGACGAATACGTACGCAAATTTTGTCTATATCAAACTCTGTTTATTCGATTGGAAAAACAAATTTAATGAAACTAGGAGTAACTCAAACGTGTTCATCAACGCCCTTATGTACTAGCTATTATACCTAGTGAAGATTACAGTACGAGTAATTTCTGGGGTTTACTAATTGACTAATATTCTTGTTGTACTACTATTCAGTAATTAGATTATGTATATCTATATTCATCTTATTATAAGCTTCGTTTTGACCTATAAATTATTATTATACGATTTATTGTTCACAAATTATGTCCAGTTTATTGATTATTGTCTCCCACGTTCATAGCCACATTTGGCTTGATTACGTACAAATATTATTTTCTATTTTATGATGTGGTGCGGTCTGTCTGTCTGGTATATAAACCAAGTATGCTTGAAATTAATGACTCGCATAGCAGAATCTGTTATTGGTGTTCTGGACTCAACTGTAAGGACTAGGCGGATAAATGATCAGTAAGAACGCTAGATTGCTCATACCGGTCGAACGTCATTGGTTTGACACAGTGCTAAGATAGGATAAGTCGTATTTCGATTTGTGAGTAAATCACGTGATAAAAAGCCAGGCATAAATTCGCAACACTAGCAATTATGTATGATTGTATAAATTGAGTCATGTTCAACAGACTATTCTTAAAACAATATTTTTCAACGTCTATTTTGCACAAAAATATTCAAGAACAATAATTTTTATTCAGTACTTAGAGCAATTGGTGTATTTTATAAAGTCTTGTTGAAATGTGTCAATGTCGAGACAAACCACACAGTATGCGTATATACCAACAAAGATTCATCAAACAACATCCAATAAGGATTATCGACAATAGGATAACTGAAATCCTTTCTAATAATGACAGAAAAAATCGATTGCTTCTGAGAGTTCCTTCTTAAAAAAAAAACAATTTTAATTCTGATTTATCGAAAATTATTAATTTTTCATTTATTAACACGGTTCAATCATAGTAGAGTTATATTCAAAGTTCGCAATTTACTCTTAAGTTCTTAATATTTAAAATAACACTCTATCACGGTTACATTTTAACAACGTATTCTCAGGTTGATTGAACTCTTGGCTATTCGTAAATTTAAACCTCCCTTATGTGTACAAAAACAATTTGTCGTAGCGTTGAATTTATCCTGGTAATCCTTAAGTCATTCTATCGCCTAGGATAACGCGACGATTTCTTATTCTTTCTATACGATATAAAATATTCCCCTTTTGTTACCTTTTTTACTTGAAATTCCATTTAATTGATCTTTATCAGAAGTGTGTTTGGTGGAGATTTTAGTAATTTTATGGTTGAAATCATTAGTCAATTGAAGCTAGACCACCATGGATCAACTCTTGCGGGACAAAATCGTAGATGCGCACTGCTGAGGAGCCCCACAATAGGACGAAACGGTCGTCCAGTGCTTTCAAGTTTTCCATGATAGTCTAGCTTTAATTGACCTTTATTAATTTTCATGTAAAATGTCCTGACAAGTATATGTGTGACCAAGTTGTTCGAAACATATATAGCAAATACATCACATTTTTCAGATCAACTCCGTCTTCTAATTGTTCTATCGAAATTTATTAAAGGAACTAATTGCTTTAAAAGGAAATATGTCGTGTTTAGAATCCGTAATCTTATGCATAAAATTGTCTAGATGACAGTTTTATTTATTAACAATAGATTTCA